CCCTTCCTCTGTGATTTTTCTTGTAATCTGTTTTGATGGTATATTATCGCTGGACTGCCAGTCCCGTGCTGGGCTGACACAGTGCTTTGGACAGGAGCTCCTTCTCCCTGCAGGAAGCTGGCAGCTGCCCTCTTGGAGCAGGCACTGCCTGAAGGAGAATGACTTTATCTCCTGAACAGCGCAGCATGAATTTGAGTCTAAAAGTAATGATTGCATACTTTACTTTTCTGAAATGCAGCTTCCCTCACCATTTCCTGCTACACCTGCAGCTGTCCATCTGCTTATTCTTTCAATTTCTTTATTGTTATCCTTCATTTCTGCTTCTTTTCTTGAGTAAAACATGTCATTTTTGGAAGCCCAGGCATTAGAACTTCAAGATCTGTTCTCTCCACTTGATTGATGCCATCCCAGATGCCAACCTGGGAGTAGCTGTGATCTCTCAGGCTGTTGCTCCAGTCTCCTATTACTGCAACCAACACCAGAAAATCTGGTTAATGAACGTTTTATTGAGTTCAGTGTGTTTGTCAATGTCCTGGAGATGCTGTTATTTAAAATTTTATGTAATATTTGTTTTCTCTTGCAAGCTTGTTTCCCTCATTCCTCTTCAATGAACTAGATCTTACACAAAATGTCAAATATTCAGGCAGTTCCCTACAACAGGATGTCAAACTAGGTTTCTAAAGCTTCACTGTAGCTTCTATTGTGAAAGACTGTCTTCTTTGCAAATCATCTGTTAATGAAAGTGGACATTTTTGCAGAATTGCTGCAAAAATAATTTCAATTTTCATCAGCAAATGGAAATTGGGCTGTAATTAAGCTTTCAAGAATAGTTTGTATGACTTTTTTTTCTATAAAGGGTATGGAGCATAATATTGCCACCTGTGAAAAATGCTAATCACTTGTTTTTAAAATTTTTAAAGTTTAATAGTAATAAAATGGTTATAAAATTAGTAATATAATTAGAGTAATAATAATTTGGACAGTTTGGATTAGGACAATATGATACAATAGAGACAAAGAGTTGCAGATGTCCAGGTACATTTTCTGGGCAAAGTAAGCCCAAAAAAGGACACACATTAACAGAGGATTAACCCTTAAAAGCAATAGTCTGTTGCATATTCATACACCTCATGCATGGTGCATAGAATCCATTCAAACACAGGATTCTGTCTGGTCAGTGACACCTTCTTCCTCTGAATCCTGACGGCGTCTCCAGGGCTGAGCAAGGCAGGAAGAAGTTCGTTTCTTCTGATAATGGGGCAATAAATTCTTTTTCTCTTAAAGATTAAGGTGTCCTCTTGTGGCTGCTATCTCAGTGCAAGTTCTCTCTTTAGAAAATGTATCTTACATACATAGTTTCTATTTTAACATTATGTTATAACCTAAACCTATATTTAACACACTACTTAAGAAAATTAATACAGGATTACTTTCTAACATAACACATATTAAATTCATTTTAATATTTGTGAAAAGCCAATCATAAAATATGCATTTTTCACACCACCAGTGTGTATATATGCAGACTGGGGAGTATTGTTTTCCTGCTCAAAATTACCTGGTAATAGTGCCACTGAAAAATCTGCAGCCAAACACAGTAGTAAGCAGACTTTTTTTTTCTTTCAATTTCCAGCAGATTTGCCAAGTAACTTAATAGAAATGTCAGTGTTTTTTCATAGTTACTGTGAAGATGAAGTATTTAGCCATGATTATTGACTTTTTTTTTCTCTTTTCTCTGTTACTTTAATCAAGTTCAACTGGAAGGGCAGATGATTGTTCAGATGCAGTAAACCTGCTCAATGTGGTTAGAAGAGACAAAGACACCTTTCCCAAAATGATTTTTGTGCAGATAGGTTCCCCCTTCAACCAATATCTGTATCTCCACATTTAATTCTGTAAATTAATTCTGTCGGGTGAAACTCTTTTGAGCAGAAGGGTGATTTAAGCCTGGGCATTTATAAATAATATAATATAAATACAACCAGTTTCACCCTTTCCTGAAGACTGCAGATAGAGGAGCTGTACGGACACATGAGAGTTTGGGCTGTACTGGTACGCAGTTTGCTGGTCCATGGGAATGTGTGCAGCCATTCCAGGACCTCTGATAAAGCTGGATGATTTCACAAAACCTCCCTGAGACAAAGTAAAGACTACTTTTAATTAATGCATGGTAGGAAGTTTGTTTTCACAGCTCTTTATATATTTTTTCTTTTTACTTACTGTTCTTCATATACTTTTTGTAAAGCTTTTTTGGTTTTTTTTCAGCGTTAAAAATCATGAAAATGCCTGTGCTAACTTGATAAAAGCCTGTGGTTTTCCTCAGTACTTCACTATAGCCCAGTGCTTGTCAAGGAGAGGAAAATGCTGGCACCTTTTGTGCAGTGTGCTGTAAACAAAGTTCTGTTATCTAGCTCAGGAGTGAGCACTGGTTCTTGTAGGATTTCTTTACCTTCATGATACAGAGCCTTTTCACTGTTAGACTGCCTGGCATTAAATATTACAACATGATAACTGAACCCAGGTCTCTGGTGCTTTTCAGCCACTGAAACTCCTCTGCTGGCTCTGATGAGCTGGTAGTGCCTAAGAAATACCAGGTATACGTTTCATTCTAACATAAATATTCATAAGCATGAGTTAGCTATGGAATAAAAAATATCTGCCCACTTTCAGCATTTATTCTGTGCACCCTGTGCTGCTGGAAGAATATGATGACACACTGTGGTTTGCTTCCCCCCCACCCCCTGCTGCTGTCTGGGATGTGAACATCTGGCATCTGGAAATAAAACAGCATAAAACACTCCACTACTTGTCTACATGAATCAATCTGCAACCCAAGCTATGCTGAAAATAGTGGCTGCTGGGTTAATTTCTGCAAGGGTTGTATCACATTCTTATGGAAGACTCAGCAGTTTTCAAATGGATCTTTCCAGATGTTCCAGGTGACGTGATTGTGTTTCACAAAAGATGTTTACTGTGGCAGAGTGGGTCAAAGCTATCTAGTACTTGATATCTTGATATCATTTCTGCCAGATTTTATTTTTGTTGTCATTCCTACTGGGCTATTTGGTATGGTGGAACAAAATATTTTAATGATTTTATAATTTGCTCATAAGTCAGATGGCAGAAAATGATTAAAGGGAAATATGACATCCAATGTTTCTTTCAGTCACTGAAGATCTCGTTAGAAGACGTGCAGAGCATAACAACTGTGAAATTTTTTCACTGGAAGAAATCTCTTTGCATCAGCAGGAAATAGAAAAGCTAGAGCATCTTGACAAATGGTGTCGAGATTTAAAAATTCTCTATCTTCAGAATAACCTAATTCCCAAAATTGGTAAGTCTGTTGTCAGTATGGTTCTTTTAAAATGTATTCACATGCATAATTTTGAAATCAGAAAAAAAAAATCCTGCTATACTTAAGGGAATGTGCTCCTATCAAGAGTTCCTTTCCTGGTTTCTCTATTGAATTTATAAGAAGGTCAGAAATTTTTAAAGGAAATTTAAAATTAAAAATATACTACTGAGATCTGAGATACAAGTCACTAGAATATGAGTAGGAAACACCTTTCATGGATTTGAATTTCAAAAGTCAGGATATAGTTTAAATATTCCGTCTTGTGGGAGAGAGTCAAAGAGTTTACCGTATACCATGGGCTGTGATATCACAGAATTAGCTCTTTCAGGCTCTTTTCAAAATTTCATTTTCATGCAAATCATATTTTTTGTTAACATTGAAATAATTTTTATTCAGATAAAATACTTTCTTGTGTGCTTGAACCAAACTTTCTGCAACAAAGCCTTAATGGTCTTCCTGCACCACAGAACAAGATATAATTTCATACCTTGTTTTTTTTTCCATATTGGAAGATGTGACATCAAGCCTTGGGCTTGAAAAGCTTAGATTCTACACATATTGTCTAGATGAACAATGAAAAGCTGGAAGTGGTCAGAAATTATGTTAGAATATCTCTTAGAAGTTCCTCAAGAGGAAAACAAAAATCCTAAGGTTTTAGGAGGAAGTTCTGTGCTCAGAAATTGTAGGCAAATCCTTTAAGTTTTCTCAAGGGACTCATCAGGAAATCTAAAGTGAGAGATTTAGAATTTTCTAAAGTGGAGGAATCTTTTCCCAGAGAAAACCAGTTTTTTAAACTGCTTTGTGCTTCTTTGCCCCATCAAAAGAAGGACTAAAATAAGTTGGTCTTCTCTCTATTAATGAGTTCTTAATAAGGCACAAGATGTCATCTTGTGGTTTTTCTGTCAACACTCAGGCCTCCTTCAGGTTAGCACAGGATACCACATTCAGACTGTTGCTTTTTGAACCCAAAATTTTTTCAGCAGTTTCATTTTTGAGACTAGCAATTTCATTTTTGAAACTAGCAGTTTTTTTGGGTTACCATAATCTAACTGTAGGAGTTGAAAGAGTATGCAACTTGCTGATTCATATATTCTTGTGTAACATGACAGCTTTCTGAGGTAATACTTTAATAACAAATGCAAAATAAAAAACAACCCCAAATCAAAAAACAACGAAAACAAGCCGCTCCAAGCCCTCCCCACACTATAGTGGTGACCAAAATAATTGTCAATGGGGGCTGTGTTGCAAAATATTGAAGTTGAGGAGTTTTTCTTTCCACTGGATACCAGCAACTCCTTTCAGAGGACACAGCAGTTCCAAGCACTCTTCTATATCTCTGAATATCACAGAGAAATGGTTTATATTGGCTCTGTTGGGCTGTGTCTTTTCTCTTCTTAAAGCAAACCTTGATGCAGCTCTCATGAGCAGGCAGGGGCTTCTCAGGCATCCCCTGTGAGTGTGAGTGGTGCCACTGCCTTCAACACAGCTCTCCCAACGTACAGAAATAGAGAAATTTTCATTTCATTACAGAAATATTGCAAAAACAAACATCCAAACTAAGCTGCACAAGTTCTTGCTGAGAAATTGATGTCATCGTTTGTGAATTCTGTAGAAAATACCTCTTCAAGTTCTTTGCAAACTGTGGTAGGATTCATGTCACTGAATTTGTAGATATCTCACATTTCCCAAGATGGAATGTCTCACTATGCTTTTTCAGCCATTCCTCTTGAATTAGATATGTGTTTTATGGATTTGTGATTAAAATGTGTTTAAAACTTTCCTTGTTTCTTTTTGCTTTTTTATTTTATGTTTTCAGAAAACTTTTTTGTTTTGTCTTTTTATTAACATTAAAATATTAATGTCCAGTAATGTGGTACATATTCTGATTTGTCCTTTGCCGTTTTTCTGCTTCATTGTTGCTTTAAGGTAAGCAGGTGAAATCATCATACTTTCCAGTGCTGAAAACTGAAGTAATCCATCTATGTTTTGTTGCAGAAAATGTGAGCAAACTAAAGAAGCTGGAATATTTAAATGTAGCTTTGAACAACATTGAAAGAATTGAAAATCTGGAAGGTCAGATTTTGAAAAAAGCCATTTTGCCTTTTCAGATTAGAACACTGAAGTTGTGACTCTGTGTAAAAGAGGGTGGAAGCCATTAAGCATGCCCACCTGTGGGGGTATTTTGTGGATGTGTAAATGATCCTTGGGTGCAGGGTTTCAGTAGGTTCTTTTTTGTGGCAAGCACTTCCTACTGCTGAATTTTTCTCTTTGAACTTTCCTAAATGTCTCCGGGTCACGTTTCATCTTCAGGAATCAAATGTCACACGCAAGAAGGTTCTGTGCTCAGCACAGGTTGCATTGAGGGTCTGAGTTTTTTAAAAGAGGTTTTCAGAGGATTTTTTTTCTCTTCATTGCTTGGAATCCTGTCTGTTTTATCTGTGTTTAATCCTTTATCCTGTCACTTTTGCACATTTCATGTGCAAAATATGGCTCTTTCCAAGATTAAAATCTAACACTTGGAGCAAGCCATAAACACATTCCATATTACTTGAATAATTTATGACTTGATTGTTTTCTGTTTCTCAGTTCGGATTAGGCCAGCTGCTGAACCTTTATATCCAACTTGACAAAGGAACAGTTAAAAAAACCAAAACAAACAAACTGATTGGTTGGTTGGTTATTTGTATGTGTGTTTTGGTTTCATTTTGTTTTTCTTTTGTTGGTTTAGTTGAGTGCTTGGTTGGTTTACTTTGTGCTTTTAAGTCTGCAAACTGATTCAAGGGGATGGCTTAAATAAGAAAACAAGCAAATAGACTAAACACAAATTTGAAAATAGTGAAGAAGTAGGTAGTGTAGTACATATTTGGGAATTTGCTGAGAAAGTTGCATTTTTTTTCGTGCCACTAAATTTTAAGCTCAGCTATCAGGCTGTATTATTTATTACTGTGATTTGTCATTTACTTAGGAGTTAGAACCTTTGGGATTGGCCCTTGCATAAATTTGGGTTCTTTAAATCCCCTAATAAATTGTTCCATGTTGTTTACTCTCTTACAGCCCAACTGTGCATAAAACTTAGCAGATAGACCAGGAAAGGAAAATGATTACAGTGATGTGAATCAAAGTTGAGCTTACTCTCAGCTCAAGTTTTTACTCTTAGAGTCAAGTTTATGATTCATGGACACATTATGATAACAGGAAAGGCTAATAAATTTAAAAATCAGATTTTCCAGAGCATCTTGTTATCTAATTTATAGTTTCTGTTTGTAATGAATTGTTTTAGTACAAACACTTTCTCACCAGTTGTTGCAATTTAACCAATGATAAAGTGTTTACAATGACAGCTGAGTCCACAGAGTGGAAAATATAACTTGCAGTGAGTTTTTGGGAAGTCTTGTCTTTGTACTTGAATAATATTGCCAGAGATTACCCATACTCAGAAATGAAACTCATAATTAATCCTGCTGTCTTTAAGCAATTGGACTGGATTTTAGCCATATGATTGAGACTTAGCTGAGAAGGGATATCATGGCAATCAGACTGTTAAAAAGGAAATCCAGCTTATCTGAAAATTAAATATTTAATAGCTCATCCATGAATGTCCACAAAGTTTTGATACTGATAAAGCCAATAATGTTATGGTATTTTGTATTTTATTGAGTTTGTTTTATTCCTGTAAATATTGTAAGCTCATAAACTTTAGCTGTGAGTCACTCTCACTCAGAAAGAGTCTTGGAAAAGATGAGTTCTGATAGAATGAAATCAGTTTACAGAACACAAATGGAGACAGTTTTATATCCAATTGTGTATGTGTGTGTGTATGTATATCATGTGTACAGTTATGTTATGGACAAATTGAATTAAGGCTTCTTTCAAACAGGCTGTGAAGAATTGAAGAAACTTGACCTGACAGCAAATTTCATTGGTGAACTCTCCAGCATTGAATCACTAAAATGCAATATTCATCTGAAGGAGTTGTTTTTAATGGGTAACCCATGTACTGAATTTGAAGGTTATAGACAATTTGTAGTGGCAACTCTTCAGCAATTAAAAGTAAGATTTTAAAACTTAAATCCAAATAAAATATGAGTGCAATAAAATATGACTGAACATACTTAGCCTAAACAAAAAAAAAAAACCTGTACTTGGAAAACCACTAGACTTTTTTTTAATGTTCACAGGAAATTAAATTCTATTCCAAAGAAGAAATGACTACAATAAATAATATGATAATAATTGGTTCCATTCTGATGGAACCACAATTATTCATTAACTTTTCTGTCATCTTTATTGGAGATTCTTAAACAAAAGTTTTTCAGGTTTTTTGTTTTTTTCAAATAAATGTGTTTTACAGTTCTGGCAGTTTTTTCCTCATGGTTGTTATATACAATGTATTTTTAAATTATTAACATGATTGCAGAGAGCTAGTGGGTTGTTGGTACCATTCCAGCAATATGTACTAAACCTGAGTGTGAGACAGAAAAAAATACAAATTGGTGTAAAACTGCACTACATTGCCTTGGCTGGAAATAGACACTGAGATTGTGGTTTTGTGCTGTGACTGAGCTGATGTAATGATTTCCTGCCAATGAAGCAGTCTCAGGCCTGAAAGATGTTCTCACAATTTTCCTCAGAGAAGCACAGGCACTGCTTAACTTATTAAGAGTAGATTCAACTTTCTCAGTTGGCAGCAAGCTTAGACATCAAAAGAAATCATTTTGGGTTGAATCAAAATCAGACAAAGACCAGAAATGGCTGAAGGGAGTCTCTACTGTATAGTCTAGTAAGACTAATTAAAATTCCTGGAAAATGCTAAAAGCAGATCTTAGAAACACAAAACCATTTTCAGATCTGAATAGAAAGTAATTGTTAATGCTTTGTAATAAAGTATAATCACATAGTGCTTTTGATATGTGAAAGATGCATTTCTAATTATAGACAGAGCTTAATTATCCAAATTAAACTACAATTGAATAGATTTATTGATTTGAATATATTTATACTTTCTCACATATTTATATTGACTTTTTCTCCTTTGGGAAGTATTTGGATAGTAAAGAAATAGAACGTTCAGAGAGGATTAAAGCCCTTCAAGACTATCCAGAAGTGCAATGGAAAATCAGAGAACAGGAAGCAGCTTACCTTCTCAAAAGGGCCAGAGAAAAGGAAGAGGCTCAAAGAAGGATGCAAGAAAAAAAGGATGAGAAACAGAAACAAATGGACTCTAAGCCTGGATGTGACAGGTAACAGTGAACAATAACAGTTTGTGAGTAAACATTATTCTTTCTTTATTCACAAGTTTGGCTTTTTCCATTAAAGAATTTATATAATTCCACTTAAGTATTTTGTTCATCGTTATTGTTGATTCAAGCAGAGTTATTTCTCCTCATGCATGTTACCTCTAATGAAAAATATAATTAGTTACAAACATAATTTATTATTGACCTGCAGACACAGTTCAAAAGAATTTTTTGTCCCAAAACTCCAAGCTAAGTTGTCTGGGTGCCAAAATAGTTTAATTAATAGTTTCTTTCAGGAGAACAGCTGGAAATTGTTGTTTAAGGTAAAGCAGGGGTTCCAGAGAAAGCAGCTGTTCATCTATAGTTGCTTTTGCCTTAGTATCATCTTCAGCATCTGAGGGCTGAAATGGAATATTGCAGGCCTTTGGTGTTGGTTTTCCCATTTCTGCCATTTCATGTCACTGACATTACCTGGGCAGCAGCAGGATTTTTGTCTGGTGTCATCCTCTATTGCACTTGCTGCCCATTTTATTTTTAATCCCATAGAAACTGTTCCATGAAGCTGCCTGCAGAAATTTGTCCTCATAGATCACACCTGTATCATAAATTTAGTTGTCTCTCTCTATTGATAGAGATTTATAGAAGCTTACAGCTAGGGGGAAAAAATTATTCAGGTGTTAAGATTGTATTTGAGGAGATGCTCATTGCTACCATATAAATTCCTGATCTAATGTTGGGAATTCTTAAACAGCACATGGACGGAAGGTTTTTTCTCACCTGAAAGTTGTGAGGGTATCTGAAAATTCTTTTCTGAAATTAAATCTGTTGAACTATCTCTCAGGGTTTTCAGGGGATTAGGTACAGCCATACTATCACTTCATAGTCAGGTAAATAAAAAACATTATGTCAAAATGTGCTTTGTTGATTGACAAAAGAAGCAGAGCAGAGAATGTTCTCCAAATATATAAGATACCAATCTTGATAGGAATTGTACAGTTATTATTGGGTTAAAAAATATTATTGCAGTAATTTATTAGCAAGTTACTTTTCCTTCACTTCATTGGGGTAATATTTCAGTGATCTTGTGTAGCCCAGACTCCCCACAGGAAAAACCCAATCAGGCAGAAGCAGATGGAGAGCAAGAAAGATGCGGAACTGTTGAAAATGATGATGATGATGAAGACAGAAAATTTTGGGAGGAGCCTACACCATACACTCCAGAATCTAGATTAGAAACTCACAGATACATGGAAGAAAAAAGGAGAGCTAAAGACAACGCAAGGTACTTCTTTGTTTTAATATCTTGATGAATTGGAGGAGAAATTTTCAAAGGTGCAGAGAACAGGCAGATGATTGCCTGACATTAAATGTTACTGAGAAATGACAGCTTAAATGCCTGTTGATTGTTAAAATAGACTTACACAGTCTAAACGAAATATTCAGATTATTGATTTTGTTTTCTTTCATTTTCTAAACTTCATTTTGTACTCCTTATTTTATTTTTCCTCAGAGTTTTTAAATATAGGTTTTTTTCAACTTATTTTTATGCAGTTTAGAAGTTCCACTTTTCTGGCAGCTAACTGTTTTGTGTAGTTCAACATTTAACTTTCTGCTAAAAACATTTATCCATACTGCAGATTGCATTATGTAAAGCAGGCCATGCTACAAGTTTTTTGCCCAAGTGGCATTTCAGGCACTTCTTCCATGTAACTGATAATTTTTTTCTCATACTTTATCAAAGATATTTGTCACAAGTCATAAGATTCTTTTATCTGTGCTATTTGGCATGGTAAATCTGAAGAAGTCTGGTCCCTGAAAAGCCTTTAAAACTTCATAAATTTGTTCCTTGTTTTGCTGAACATGCAAAATATATGCAGATAATAGCAAAACCCTGCAGTATTTTATTGCTTCTGGCTTATCAGTTCCACAGACATTGTAAACAGTGTCTTGTTGTTTACAGTGTCTTTTTTTTCCCCCTCTCTGTCTTCTACTTATATAACATACTTTGTGCTGGAGGTTTTTTTAGCTGTTCTTTTTAAGGACTTGCTTTTTAAAATTTTTGTCAAGGCTAAGTATTGAAAAAGTCAGTCCTAGGGAATTCTCCAGGAAATCTGGAAATGTGCATAACTTGTTGTTATTATTAATTCAAGTTCTAGCACTTTCCTGGAAGAACTTCTGTGAAACTCAGTTTCTAGCCAGTTTGAGTTTTGCTGTGTTTGGAAATGCCTTGGTCTAGTCAAAAGCAAATGTGTTCCAAATGCTTCCCTCTAAAAATTCAAGGACAGTCCAAACAGTGTTATAATAAAGATATAATAATTAATTTCTGAATTTTTCTGAATTCCCAAAGCATTTGAAAGAGTTTAAAAATCCTTTTATGGGTCATTTGATTTGGTGTTGAGAAAGTTTCACAGCATCTCCTTAAAATGGCTCACATGAATAGACAATTTCATCTGGGAACAGATTGTTAAAAGCTAACAGGTGGTAGGATATAATTTGTGAGGTATTTCTGAGAACATCCTTTGGACAGTGGTGGTTCATTCACTTTGCATTTAAGCGTAAAGTCTAGGAATTCAGGTGTGGAGACTGGCAGCCCACAAATCCCACACAAAAGCTGATTTATGTTATAGGATAATGTTTAACACTTGGACAATTGTCTTTCTTAAACAGAAATTGGTTTTATGTAGTCGTTTCAGTAGGTTTATTTAAATGTTTTTCTTTCTTCTTCAAATCCCTTGTATTTATAGACCAAATCTGTTTTTATGGGCTTTTTCCCCAAGGTGTTCTAAATCTATAATATCTTATATCTATCATTAGTGATTTACCTTTAACATGCTCTTAGTCTTGAATTTATGGTAAGAAATAGGTTCAGGAACAGAAAAGAAACAATGCATTGTTGTTGGGGTTTTTTTGAGAAATGTTTTCCCTTTTAATATGGTGATTAAAGTGGTCATACCCACTATATTGACCAGCTGAAGAGTGGTCAATATAGTGGGTATGACCACTTTATTGAAGAGTGGATTAATGCAATGTGACAATTACAGTGCTGTATTTTTAAAGAAAACTCCATATTTTTACTTAGGTGTGATCAGACTTTTCTTTTTCATGTTACTAAAATTCCTTGCTCTTCCTTCCCATGCTCATAATCTAAACATTTACACAGGAAAATACCAGTATTACAAGTATCAATATATTAATACCAGTATTACAAGTCTTAATAATCTTACTGTGATCTACTTTGGGCAGATAAATTTATCATAGCTTGTTTATTGTACTAAATGAAAGTCAGTTTAGTTTAATTGCTCATAGCTGGAAATGGACAGTAAATGTTAAAGTAATATATCAGTACATCATGAGTAAATCTGGAATATGTATTGCATTTTTTGAAGTAAGAACACAGCAAAAAATGTAATTTATGCATCAACAAATAATCTATTCTAGATGTCTGCCCTTTGGTCCTACCGTATCCTATTTAATGCTGCTTTTAATCTTTTGACCATTAAAATTCTTCTTGCTAGAGCAAAATTAGTGATTGAGAGACAGATGCTGTTTGAAGGCAAGCCAGGCATTTGTTCAGTGGGAGTAATCAAGTGAGCATGAATAAAACTCTTTAGAATTGCTTGCCCATACATCAAACCAGTTATCAGTGGCAACACCTCATGATGAGTTTCACCATTTATAACTAGAAAAATGTTCCATTACATACATTTAAGCCATCCTTATTTTCTTGTGGTATACCAGATAATTTGATATATTTCTGTTTGATAAGGACATGGTGATATACAGAAGAAGTCACTGTCCATGTAAGTTGTGACATTATAAATTATTTGCTCATGTTTAGATGATGTTCTTAATGTGCAATTGGACCCATGATGCAATCTGTTTTGCTTCTGCTCTAAATTGTAGCCTTACATCAAATACCAGATAATTCTTATGTCTTGCCATCCTCTTCTTTATTTTTGCTATTTTACACAATAATGCAACTTTTTATTGATTAACCATAAACAATTTTTCTTTCTGTTTCATTAAGGGAATCAAAAAAGAGAGAGAAGACTGCTTGGACATTGGTCACTGCAGAAGGAAAAGTTCTGAATGTGAATGTGCCTAAGTATGTAAGGTTAAGAGATTAAGCAGTCTAATCTCTCTGCAGTTGATTTGGGCAGCTATTTCAATATATGTGACAATCCAAAAATAAGAAGGCTGAGAAATTTTTGTTGCAGTATTATATTCCTTGTGGGAAAAGTGGATTCTAAATTTATATTCTGATGCTGGAAGAAGAATCAGTTGTCATTGCATTATGTGTTAAGGATTGTTTAATTTAACAACTTCCTCTTTAAAGATTGAAGAACTTGTTTTTTTGTAAAATATATAAGATATTTTAGTCTTTTCCCTTCTATAGTAAGGCTCTTTCTTGGAGCATCTTCTAATAGTGTAAAAAGTTTAACTGTTGAAGATAAATGTGTATGACAAGTCACTTAAAATGTGAAAAAATACATTCCAGTAATATTTCTGGACAAAATAATTCTGTCCTCTGATGACAGGTGAAAGGGTAATCAGCTTCTGGCAAGAGGCCCTGTGGCCCTGAGTGAGGTCTCCAGCAACAGAGGACGGGGTTACAGAGGAGTGTCTTGTGTTTTACCATTGACAAAGGCACTTGGATTTTCAGGTGTTTTGGAATGAGTTTCCAGGGATATCAGCCATTGTTTTTACTTGAACCAAACTTTCATTTTCTAGGGGAAAGCAGGGGACTGAGTGCAAATATTTTTCCTTATCAACAGCTCCCCATAGGGTCTCCTGCAGCAGAGTGGGATGAGAAAGTGGCCACTGACCTCTGCAAAACCAAATCTATGCACATGATTATCATAAGCATGAAGACTGCTTTCTAAATCTTGGAAATTTAGAAATCCTTGCAAATTCAAGAAATTATATGCAGTGCACATTTTTCAGTAGAACAGAGAGAACTAAAGGCAGTGCAAGAGTTTAGTGTCATGTAGAGCCATGTTTAGTCTGTCTGTACCAGGAGATACTTTCCATTGTATTGATATACTTTTTCCAGTAAAAATGTATTGACTAAAAAAATATTTGTATGATTTTCTAATCCAAAAAGACAAGCCTAAAATAATTTAAATCTTTTGTTAGTAGAAGTTACTTGCACCTCCAAAAAGCAGGGACATTTAGACTAAATCTCTAGCTATCTTTTTTAGAAGAAACAGAGTTCACTGTTAGTAGCATCCTTGTTTGTGTCACCCGAGTTTTCTGAATTTAGTCTGTGGATGTGCCCACATAGAGCCAGACCAATGAGCATTTTTTGTCATGACTTCAACAAGAATGTCACAGCTGTTCAGTGCAATCTGGCAGTGTATTGGAGAGACATAAAGAAAGAGATACAAATAAGCAGATGGTGTTCTCCAAAGTTTTTGCTTCAACGTGGAAGTCTCACGTCCATAAAAATGTCCAAACTTCTCTGATGTTCTTTTGGAAAGTTAGCAAGAGGAATAGCTGCTTGCTGCTGAGGACAGACTGTTTCTGTACTTCAGTTCTAATTAAGATTCCTCCTGGAAATTTTATAATTCTGTCCTCTTGTTCACCCTTCATGTTTTAGTGGATTCTCAAGATCAGTGATGCAGTAAGACAGGAAATAAAACTGTTTTGTATTCTCTGCACTTTTCCAATAAAAAATACTTGTAAACTACAACCTGTAAACTTTCTTGCAAATTGACTGTCCCAGAATATAGGAGATCCAGGAGTGAAAAGCATATCTGGGAAATATTTTTGTTGCTGAAAAAATTTTTCTTCAAATCTGGTAACATTTGAGCATCTTTCTATTAACAGAACCCATCTTTTTTAAGTATTTTAATGTCACTGAAATAGCCCAGATAAATTATATTAAGCAAAATCCCTTCATATAATACTAATAACTAATTTATCAAAAGCTTCTCTTTTGTAGGTAATTTCATTCTTTTTTCCCCCTGCTTTCATGCATGGGAAATATTTGAGCATATGAGCAGAACTTGTAAGTCTAGACTAGATCTCCTTACAGTTGTAATAATAGATTGCATCAATTTATAACTGATAAGATTCATTCCCAATTTTAAGAACACAGCCAACAAATCACAAAAATACAGCTAATACAATCTACAGGCTCATTTTCAGTACATATAAAGCTTATAGAATCAAGGATATTATGCAGATCATGTTTTACTCTGGAAATACACAGACAGATTTTTATACTTGGGACAAATTAATTACTATGAATAAAGTGCATGTCTTTTGAACATACAATAAGGTTAGAATTACAAAGATCTGTGTTTTTCTTGCATTTTGGAACTGTTTTTTCTGTGAAGATGTAATAGAGCAGACAGGTTTCACCAGCAGATGTCTCTCGTTCTGCATTGTCAAAATAAGCTTAATTTTAACCGACCTTCAGCGGAGGATTTTTTCCTCTTTCTTGTGGTTTGAGTAGGGAGAACAGAAAATAAATATCAGAATGACCTTGTCTCAAATGCCAGTACTGGAGCAAATGGCAACTGTTTCTAAATTATCACATGACATTGTCTAAATGGTGTTTGTATTCATCTAAAATTGCTGACATTTGAACTATGCTGTAATGTTTGCTTACTCACTCCAGCAGTATTTATCCTGGAGCTGTTTCTTGTCATTGTCTTTAGGCTTCATTTCTCTCTGAAAGATGATGAAGAAAACAACCAGATCATCTTGGATCTTGCTGTTTACAGGTCAGATCTTTTTTCCCAATAATTTTTGCCACTCATGAGATGTAATACACAGTTTTTCAATTATACTGCTCTCTGTAATGGGGACTTTTCAAGAAGAAAACAAATAATGTAGTGGATAGTGAAACCAATCTCAAAACCTGGAAGGAAGTAAAGCTGAATAAGCCAAAGGCCCTTCAGACTGTTCTGTTAAACCTGAATGGACACTGTGTCTGATAATCCTTTTGGGAGCTGATGTTTTTCTGCAGCCCACAGGCAGGTGTCTTCCACACTTGTTCTCTTATACATATGTAAAATCTTTTCCATTCTTCCTCTGCAGATAAGGGCTGCAGGGAGAGGGTTTTTTGCTCATGCTTTGGCTCTAAAAGTGCTTCATTACTGTTAATGTGCTTCTAGTTAAATTCTTCTTCTCCCTGAGGCAGACAGAGTAGGGTGGACTTGTCTTATTTTCCTTGATTAGTGAGAAGAGTCCATGGCTCATGCCTATTCTTGAAATGTACTAGAGCATTGCTTGGAAGAAATTTGGTTGAGTCAGGCAAAATCTGACGAGGAGATAGTATATACACTGCTAAGCATTTCAATGACCTTTTCCATTCTTCAGGAAGGGGCTGGAAACCCAAAAGTTTATCTGTCCATAATAGAAACTTGTTACATAAAACTTGTACTAGTTTTATATCACAAAAATATTATTCATGCCAGGTGTGCTTCCCTTGAAAGTCATTAATTTCCCTCAAAAGAGGTTTGCTCCATGTTTCTGACTTACAAGATACAGATCTTTTTCTGGAACCTCAGAAAATCTATTCAGGTTCAATAAACTGCTGGATGTGCTACAGAATCACAGAACCATTTAGGTTGGAAAACACCTTCAAGGTCATTAAGTCCAGCCTTTGACTCATCATGACTTAGCCAACTACCCCACAGCACTAAGTGCCATGTACAGTCATTTCTTGAACACTTTGGGACCCTGGGTAGTCCAGATTTTAATAATCTGTGCTCACCTGTAAGAAATGCAGACTAAAACATTTGAAAAATTCACCTGTTAAGTAATGTTGTAAAAGAAGAGAAATGGGAAATACATGCTTGTGCATTCCCATGAGTCACATCAGGTGTCACATAGGGAAGAGCAGATATAAAACTGGAGCTTTTACAGGCCACAAATTTTGTTTGAAAGATGTAAAATGACTGTGTTTTCTGGGAATAGAAAGTATATCTGTTCATTGTTTTCCAGCAAGTTCTGTACAAAAAAGGGGAATTTTGGGGGGAATCTGTTATAATTTTAGTAGTAAAACCTTCAGAAGGAAAAGTAGCAAATAATTTTCACAACTTAAAATAGTATGTAGATTAATTTTCATATAATGTAAAGAACTGAACTAACAGATGAAAGACCTTTTTGTTTTCATCAAGGATTTTGAATTCTTGCAGTTATACAATAGCAAATGTCATGGACTTGGTAGAATTTAGACATTATTGTAAGTGACATTCACAAGAAGATTATGGGGTGTTTTTCCCAAAAACTTTAAACCCTAGTAGTATTTTGGAAAATCTAATAACTGAAATTTAAGCTTGTGCTTTATATATTGTGAAATTTTGAAAGAGCTATATGCTCTATTGTAGATTGATTCATTTTTTTCTGTTTCATTTTGAAGACATTTGGACACTTCTTTACTTGATGTTGATGTGCAGCCAACTTACGTACGAGTACTGGTGAAGGGAAAGGTTTGTGATTTTTTATACATTCATTTTTAAATCAAGAGTTAATGTTTGCCATAGTTATTCAGTGAACTCTGGATCTGACTTCTCTAAGTTACCAATCATGTGCATCTATGCAGAGAGAATGTTCTTTCAATACCAGCATTATTTTGAAACACACATAAACTGTGGAAGTCCTAACCAGAAGATGTACAAAGCCTGAAATAAAATTTCACTTTCCTTCTCTCCTCTCTTCTTATTCTCCCCACACAGTGTACCATAATTCACTTTAGAAGAGAGCTTCCTAGTTGCCCTAGGCTAGAACTTAGCAATTTCACAATCTGGAATTTATAGCTGACAGAAACCAATGGATGTATATTCTTTTGGAAGGGCATTTAAAATGTCATTCCAGTTTTCTCTCTTCTTGGTGGTTTTAATTTTATCATCATTTTAGAAAAAAAAATTCCAAGTACTTCCACAGTAAACCAAAATCCCTATTTTTAACTGAGCCAACTTCATAAACAAAACTTGAGAATTAATTTATGTTGAAATAGACTGGATAATCTTTCTCTTTTAATTGCTAATATAAGTCAAGCATCATTTGTAACCTTCTTTAGAAATGCCACTTCAGGAATGGCAGCAGTTCAGGAACATACATCTGACTCTACTTGTAAGCAAAAGCTATTTAGCCTAATTTATTAGGTTTAGTAATACCATACATAAAGTGAAAGCATTTACACCTGCAGTGTCCTTACAACCAAAGGATGTGATAGTGGTGGCCTTGTATTTGTTTTGTCCATGTAAAAGAAAGAAAAAAATATTTTAGCATGATATACTTTAATTCCATTTTGTTTGGTAGCCTTTTCAGCTTGTGCTCCCTGAGGAAGTGAAGCCAGACAGCAGCTGTGCTAAAAGATCACAAACAACTGGCCATTTAGTTGTCACCATGCCAAAGGTATGTAAAACAGGAGACATCACACAAAGGTCCTTAAATGTTGTGAGTACTTTGGGAATGTCTCTGAGTTACAGGTAACATCTGGCTTGCTAAAGATATGCAGTCTTGCCTTTCCCATCAGGGCATATTTCCCAAGAAAAGGAACATTGCATAAAGACAATTTAATTGCAGAGCCAAGCCTTAGTATTTAAAAACCCTCTAAAGGAACGTATGAAAATCAGTATTAATAGAAATTTGTATTTCCTTTACTTTAAACGGGATCAGCTTTTTATGTGCTAAAAGAGACTATGCAAAACATGCAGTATTATGCAAATGTCTAAGAAGATAGGATTTTTTAAATAAGGAAAATAAACCCATACCTACTATCTTTTTCCACTTGTGAAATAATAAGAACAAATCGTTTTATCACAACTTGTGTGGCACACATATATATGAAGGTTACATATTTGTCCAAATAAAGGGATCATGCACTACTCTCATTTCTCATGTGTTTGGAAAAAGAGTTGCTTTATGAATGAAGAGATCATTTTCCCTTCATGCTCTGCCTGGCTGGAAAGGATCCCCTGACCAGCTGTACAAACTACTGTGACCATAGAGCAGGAATGTTGTGGCAGCATGGTGTTTCAACTGAAACTGCTTGGATCAGGCAAGGAGCTGGAAGTTCTGGGGAGGTGGAGTTCCAGAGATGAGAATGGGTTGTATGGTGGGGTTCTGGATGCTGAGGGAGAAGTTAATCAACTGCAGCATCTTCTGCTGTTGCCTTGGGAGCATTGGGTTGCTTTTAAGGCCTCTGTAGGACATCTTATACTTCTGGCTTTTGGAATATGATAATCCTGCCCAGGGATAGTTACAGTGAAAAAACCATCTCTTGGTGCTCTAGGTCTTCTGGACTTCAGGAAATTTCTCTGTTGTGTAAGGGCAGGGGATATGTGTGGGTCCACCAGAGTATATCAAATGCATTTCCTTCTGAAGGAGGAAGCTATTTAGCTGAAATAGCTTCCCCTGCTCTATGGGGTTATTTTTTTTTCTCTTTGTGCTCTGATTTAATTCTAAGACTATGCATCTAGTAGCTCTAACTTTTGTGGGTATTGCCTTTTATGTTCCCTTCTATAATCCAATCCCATTCGATCTGTCTGTCCCTATGAGGACAGCCCCTCATGGAATCACAAACTGTCACTCTAGAATCAAACATGCATTTTTGCCAAAAACTGTAAGAATACTTAAAATTGTACTTATTTAGTTAAGGTTTTCTGAATGTTCAAAATTCACTCAAATGAGAATTTATGTTTCCATAAATTTGTTCGAAAATGAGGCCTTGACATTTGTCATTTTGAATAGTGTAATTTTCAAATGTATATGATTTATTTTTGTTTAATAGTTACTTGTCTTTGCAGTTTTCTGTCCCATACCCTGCTTTTATTACTCATACATCTTGCTAGTCCCTTTGTGGATGATCAATGCCTTAGAAAATGTAAATATTTCCAAGTGTTTCTGGATATCTATTAACTCTGCTGCCTACCCATAAAATCATACCTAAATCAGCAAAATGAATAGTCTCTCTTCACACTGTGATTGAGAACTGCCTTTATTCCATTATTAACTTTATATTTAACCTACCTTGATATTTTAGCTACACCTACGTATTTTGCCTAGCCTGAGGCTCTGGAGCATACTTCCTCTCAGAATATGTGATTCTCAGATATTTGTAAAACATGAGGAGAGAGAAGCACTATGGAATAACTGGATAGATGTCCTCAGCTTGGCCTTGGTTTGGTTAAAACTGCTTGAGTAGCTTGGGGATGCATGAATGGAATGCTGCATGTTGTCAGTGGATTTTGGGAAGCAGCTTTGGAGAAAAGCAAAGTCTTGGTTGCCACATAGCTGAACGTGAGTCAGCAATATCCTCTTCTGTCAGAGAACACCAGCTGTGTCCTGAGCAGCTTAGGAGCATGGCCAGCAGGTGGAGGGAGGCCATCCTCCCCCTTGTTCAGCCTTGGTAGGAGACACATGGAGTGGTGGGCTCCCCAGTGCAAGAGAGACATGGACCTGCTGGAGAGAACCCAGCAAAGGGCCACAAGGATGATCAAGGAATTGGGGCACCTCTCCTGTGAGGAAAGGCTGAGAGAGCTGGGACTGTCCAGCCTGGAGGAGAGAAGGCTCAAGGGGATCTCATCAATACACAGAAATACCCTAAAGGAAGAGTGCAAAGGATCAGAGCCAGGCTCTTTTCAGTGGTGCCCAGTGACAGCCCCAGAGACAGTGGGCACAGACTGAAATGCAGGAGTTCCCCCTGAAGACCAGGAGACTCTGACTGTGAGGGTGACCAGGCGTCTGCACTGGTCACCCAGGGAGGTTGTGAACCCTCCATGCCTGGAGATGTTCTAAAGCCATCTGGACATGGTCCTGGGCAACTGGCTCAAGTGGCTTGACCAGGGGGCTTGGATTAGATGATCTCCACAGGTCCTTGCCAATCTCCAGCATTCTGTGGTCCTGTGAACTTCATGGATTTACTGACAAAAGATGAATCTGTGTTACTTCATTGCAGTTGCATGTAAAGGATACTAATCTATTGTTCACTTTTTAATTGACTTTTTACATTCACAGAATCTGTTCTCTTCTCCTAGGACTGAAATGGAGTGCTCATTTGAAATTTTTGGGGCATAGTTCCTCTTCAGATAATCTCAAACCATACAAATTTTATCATTATGATTAATGGGATGTAATATAGGAAGAAAGGTAGATGAATAATGATTGACAACAGGAAAGCCAATAGATATTTTTCTTGCAGAATATTATGGCTGATTTTATCAATGCTTGAGAATACTGGTTCAAGATCAGCAACTTAATGGGAATTCCTCTTAGTAAAGTTAATAGAAAGACCAGAATACATTCCATTTCTTTTAGGCTGTATCAGTGACAAGATAAGCTTAATGACTATATTACACTGTATTTTATCCTTTTTGTTTCTAAAAAACAGTTATCAAAATATTTTTTTTTTTTGCAGCTAGATAAATGGCCTAGCACATTCCTTACATAAGTGAAATGTCCACTAATCTAAAAATAGTCTCCTATAATAAGCTTCATGCAATAGTGTCCTAAAAATATCTCTCTCTTTTCAGTCACACAATAGAAATCTATCTGAATTCCAAGTGTTTTTCACTTGGTTTACTGAGATCCTGATCAGGTTAATAAACCTTTCTTCATTCATCTTCCAGCCAGTTTATAGTTCCCTAGTCTTTAAAAACAAAACCAAAACTTCTTTCATTGCCTCTCTGAGGAGCTTGTCACATCACAGATGTTGGAGATAGTAAATTCCACATGAAGTAAAAGAAAGGAATAATTTTCACATTAATTTCTGGGAACATATTTTTAACCATATTACATGCTACACAACAAATAACCACAGAATGGGTGCCTTTCTAAGGCAGTGTTTACCAACATTTTTTGGAAGGTCATCAAAAGAAACTGAAGGACACAATGTTCAGTGAAATAATATAGTGACACCTTTAAAGTGTAGTGCTTATACTGCAATAATTCTTTGTATGGAGATTTTACATGAGCAAGGTGTGGACAGTGACTACATTGTACATGCCTTGTGTTCTGGGAAAAATATTTGTGACATGAAACTTCTCCAATTTTGAACCTCTGTGCTTTGGCAGCATCATCTTTGCAGATGATGCAGGCAAATAAAAAAAATGGAAGGTTCTTTAATAGAATTTGACTAAAATTGGCATATTAAATAAATTATTTCATAAAATGTCATTAGTAGATTACACCAGCAGTTCAATTGCTGCCTCAGTAAAAGCATCAAACCCCAGTGTTATTAACAAGCAGGTTTTATTTAGGGTTTTGAGACATTCTCTGTCATGTTTGAAAACTTTCTTTTTCTTAGTTTAGTGAGTCAGAGAGTGAAATTTGGACTTTTGATCAATTCTTTATTATATTACCAGCCTCAAATGAATGCTGACAGCTTTTTATTGCCTGGGATTTCAAAAGAGATTCGAAATTTAAAGATCAATGAGAGTTAGATTGCTTAATTAATCTAAAAATAGGAGTAGTGTGTATTATGCATGTCAGTTTTATTTGATAGAATTACTTCATATAATTCTTACTTATCTAGGTATGGTAAATGTGGTAATATTTCATTATCATCAAAGGCATGTGGAGACACAGCTCTGGAATCCTAGAAATCTAATAATCTTTCAGCATAAATGTGTTTCAGGGAAAATCTGTTTCCTCAAATTCCCGCTGTAGAATAAGAAAGCCATTGTAGGAAAAAAAAGATGGACTGAAACTATGAATAAAAATATGGCTTTTGCATATTCCTTCTGTTTTCTCAAATACACTCCAGAGTTTTTTTAAAACATCTCTATCTAGAATCCTTTGATACTGATCTCAAAAGGGGTCATTTCCTGTTTTCTAATTAATCATAGAATCATAGGGTAGGCTGGGTTGGATGGAACACATCAGGATCATCAAATCCAACTCCTCACACCATGTGCCTGAGAGCATTGTCAAAGTGCTTCTTGAACTCTTTCAGGTGTTACTACTTCCCTGGGAAGCCTGCTCCAGTGCCCAAACACCTTCTAGGTAACGAACCTTTTCCTGATATCCAACCTTAACCTCCTCTGGCACAACTCCAGGCATTCCCTTGGGTCCTGTCACTGGTCACCTGAGAGAAGAGATCAGTGCCTGCCTGTCCTCTTCCTCTCATGAGGATGCTGAAGATCTCAATGAAGTCTCCCCTCCATCTCCTCCAGGCTGAAGAGAGTGACCTCAGCCACTCCTCATACAGCTTCTCCTCCACACCCTTCACCATCCTCATGGCCTCCTTTGGATGCTCTCTCATATCTTCATGTCTTTTTTATATTGTGCTGCCCAAAACTGTACACTAAAATGTAAATACTAGAAATCATAGTATTAGTATCATAAATATTAGTATCATAGAATAACTTTCAGAAAGCTTCATTATATTGATTTAGTCAATTTTTTAATATACCACAGGCTTCAAATTTCACATTATCTTTCTACTGAGGCCAAAGTAGGCAAATCCTAACCCTTCCATAAGTTCCAAGGTCAGTTCTTGTCAGGGATGTATTTTCTTAGGAGTGCAGAATCCGCATGTTTCTCCACCGTCCTTGATGGTGTGCTCTGAGGACAAAGAAAGAAGCACAAGTCTCAAGGGGATCAGCAGAATAAATTTCTGTTAAAAAAAAAGAATATTTGAAAAGCGGGAAGGTAGAAATAAACAAGGCTTTCTTTCTGTCATCAAAGCATATACAGAACCAGAGGGATTCAGCCTCTTCACACTGATTCTCAGAAACAGATGACTGAAGCTACAGACTGTCTTTATATAATTTGGGGTTCAGAGGGGAGACTAAATTCACAGTGAAGGGCTTCTGGAACAGACTGCTCTCAAATCAGTTGGACTGTGAAACAGTGAATAACATGAACTATTTGGTGTAGTTCCTGTTCTTCCTCCTTTCAGATGTTTCAGGGATGCCTCTCCCATGCTGTTGTTATGAAGGGAAAGCGATCCTTTTACAATGAGATACCCTTTTGTCAATAACACATCTTCCAAAAAATCATGGTGGATGTGTTTTCTTTGAGAAGGGGAATCCCTCTGGACTTTGAACCTAAGTTTCTGTTTTAGCAAAGGAGCTGAAGGAGTTTGTGGTCACTTGTCATTTGAGTGGGGAGAAGTCCAGATTGCAGCTGATTTTTTAATAAAAATGTCAGAACAAGTACTTGGACACCAGAACCAAAATGAAATCAGTAATGTGCATTATTAACATGGTGCTAAACAAGATGGTATATATTTAAACACAAGTAGATGTATATATTTAAAGACTCTTTAAATGTATACATCTACTTGTGTATAAATGTTTGACTATATTTCCATTCAGATAATTTGGTTTAACTTTCCTTATGTCTGTGTTTCATGCTAAGTGAAGAGTGGTAAAATGTAACAGAAAGAGTAAATGTCACAAGAGAAAATTTATGCAGACACTCACAATTTTCTATTTTTGAAAGATTATTTAAATGCTTGCAAGCAAAAGTGTCAACTTTTATGAGAATTGTGTTTTGTCTATTTTTATTTTAGGCTAAAGAAATAATACTGGCTAAGCAAAACGTTTCAGCTTCAATTAAACATTCTGACTGCAATACACAGCAAAAAGCCACAAGAAGGTAATTCCTTTTTATCTTCTGTATCAGTTTTTTTTTTATCAGTGTGTTATTCTCATGCCAGAATATGTACTTATTTTATGTTATTGTTGAAAATATGAAAATATTTATTAGTGGAGAGTAAAAGTATGTCTAAAAGTTTTAGATTAATAACCTGTCTGGTGCTGTTTATTAAAAAGTGATCTCCTTCAATACCAGAGCCAAACATCCACTTATTTTTGCGTATCAGTTTTTTTCGATCACCTCATTCAGGTTGTTAACTAGTATATGCTAAAACAAAATCACCTCCTGAGAATGGCCTCTGCAGAGCTCTTTGCTATGGAACTCAACTCTGGAAACCTTGTAGAAAACAATTATTTTGAATCTGTCTCATGAATGTATTTTCTTACTGTTATACAGGTTAATCTACTGCTTTTGTAAATAGCTTCTAAAAACAATTCTGTAAGGTACTGTAACCCAGATCCATCCTATCAAATATGATGTCAACTTGAAATCTTGTAATTAATGACTGCCGAAAGCAAGTGAATATCAGTGATGCACTATTTTCTGTTTTAACCCTTAGCAAATGCTACTGTAGATAGACAGTGGGGTTCACGAACACTTGGCCTAAGTACAAACACCATGATATATGTTTTAATCTTTCCTTTTCCTTTTGCTATAGCCAATGATAATCATACCAGAATAAGATATTCTAACAAGAAAGTCCCTTAAGCGGTTTATCCATTTATATTTGAAGTGTTGCACTTGTTTCCTTGTTTGATTTCGTTGTGTTGAATCTTGGTAAAAAGGCTAAGGAGTTAGTAAAAAATGGCATTTTGGATCTTTGCTGTTCTTGGTTTTATTATTTAGGACACTGGTAAAATGGTTCTGCAAGAGTCAGTTGTTATTAATTCTACTTTTAGTTTTTCATTTCTAAGAAAAATCAGTCCTTAACTTCTTTTCTTGATGATCTGCCTTATGAGAAGATGAGAGGGCACCTGCAAGAATTGCTTGAGGTTTCTAATGAGCCCCAAGGACTGTACCCTTTCCTTGGGAAGCAGTCATTACAACAGTACATCAATCTGATTACAGAGTATTTGAAATATTGCAGAAGGTCTAGGTAAAGTGGAGGATACTTACTCTCAATTATACTTGCAAAGTCGTAGAAAGAGTCAGGTGAAGCCCCTGGTAACTGGAAAAATGGAAATATTGCACCCATTTTAAAAAGATTAGAAACAAGGACGCTAGGAATTTGATTGCAATTGGAGGAGAAAAAAAGCAAATGTAGGATATTTGGGATACTTAGTGAATACAAGATAATGGACCGGCATTCTATCAGGTGCAGTGCAAAGGACGAAAACATGCTCAAACTATGCTCACAGATGTTTCAGAAAGAAGGGGAAAAATC